TTTTTTTTTACTTTTAGATTAATAAATTAAACTATTTTTTTCTATGAACGATCATAGTTACGATTATTGACTTATTATAAAAGTCATGGTACTGACATACTTGAAGGGGTAAATGAAAGTTATGTGACACACCGCACCAGATTTTTGCAGGTGTTATTTTCAACCTAAATAATATTGAACAACAGCAGAACGTAAATAATAGTTCGAACCACAAATTGCTAATTAGCAAACACATTGTTATTTTTAGCTTAGTTATTTGTACTGTAGCTTGTTAACGACCACAACTAAGAAAAATATTTTTTTATGCGACATTGATAGTTAAAGAAACTGTTATGAAGTTATACAATCTGAATATATTTAAAAATAATATTATTCTTATTATTAAGTAACTCAAAGCAAAGCTATGGTACCCTCCATTATATACATGAGATTTGTAAGGTCATGCCAATTTGAGTTCATTAACATCTATAGAACAAACATGATGAGGAATAAATATAGACAAGTGAAAAATATTTACATTAGATAATTATTTAGGAATCGATACTGATTTTTTTTTCCGAGAACATAGATTTTGAGGATTTTTTTACGAGAATATTAATGTAAAAAGACTTTCCGGTAATTAAAGCAATGAAAATATTAATTTAAATTAAGTTTACCTACATAAAAAACAAAGGAAATTCATATTAACCACAACAAAATTAAATAAATCAAATCGTAAAGATAAGTTTGTTATGGAAGTGAAAAAACATTTTCCTGGTCATCAGGCTGTTCAGAAATTTGACGGCAACGCCATCTAGTTGATTCAAGCCGAACTAAAGTCAAAATCAAACTTCTTAACATCTAATTGTGTTGATTTTTTATTATATTTATTATAATTTTTTTTCAAGTTTTAGAATTCATAAAAACATTTATTTTTCAGAAAAACATTAATGGATAAAGTTAAGAAAGTAATGATTTTCCTAATCTTCTATGATAAAATCATTTATACCTAATAATATATATTTTTATCATGGATCAATCTGCTTTTAAAATAAATATAAAATAATTTGTGAATTCTTTATATTTTAAAATGAAAAACGAATTGTGACTAGTTTATTTTATTATTTTTTTCTTTTATTGTAAACCTTGACTTAGGGTAAAAGATATCCCAATTATCTAATTATTGACACTAGTAATTTAAATTTGATAAAATAATAATTAGGTTCATATATGATTTAATGGCCTTCAAATTTAATTTACAAATGTCAATAACTGGTGCCTTTACATTTAGTCGAGGATTCCAAAAAAATAAATAAATAAATCAGTTAATTTAATAATTTTAGTAGCTTTGTTTTTGTAGAAATATAAAAAAAAAAAAAAAAAAAACATTAGAAATAATTCCAGGCTATAGGCTATACAGAAGAAAGAGAAAATAAATTAAGACTGGTTTTCACAACACATTTTTTTAATCTTTAAGTTCGTTTTTGTAAAAAAAAAAAATTGTTATTTTTTTAGGGAATAACAACATCTTAGGATTCATAGGGAATTTTTACATGGGACTCGATACTTGTAATGTAATGTAAGCCCGATTTAAGTAAAAATATATATCTAGAAATTTATCTTTAAAAGCTTTATTGTTCCTGCAAAACAGTTTTTTTTTTTTTTTTTTTGGTCCTCAGGTATTACGTAAAAATCATTAAATATAGGAATTTTAAGTCTTTTTCTTCAAGGTTAATTATGGTTATTAAAAAAAAAAATTAATAATAAACCAGCTCCTTTCCCCCCCAAAAAAAATATGTCCTGGAACCACTACTGCACTAGACTAATTTATTTCGCATCTAGATCAAACGTAAGATCAATTAGTAACACGTCATTTGTAAAATAAATATTTTTTTTTTTTAATATTTCATTGAAACAGCTTGTCTCGATATGCCCGCGGTTTTCCCCAAAGACCTTTAACCTCCCGACTAGTTTATTGGAGGATATTATTCACACTTCTTGGAACCTCAATCAAATTAGCATGCTATCATGTCCTATAGCTAATTCTACTTATAGGAACCGCTTCTTAATATGCACTGCTCTCTTTTTATTTCATGATCACTTTAACTTTGGGAAAACAATTTATATCTCAAGAATTTAATTTAAAAAAAAAAAAATAATAATATACCTACTTTTGAAGACATGAATAATATTGAAGTATTTAAAATGGGTGTAAAATTCCCTTGACTCTGTCAACTTTATTAAAAATCATTCCAAGTTTTCGTCGACTTTAATTATTAATTTAAAATATCTAAAAAAACTGTTTAAACATTTGAATGTAGAATAATTTATATATTTTTTAAAAATATTTAAAGTAATATTAGAGCAATAAATAACTATGATATTAATCAAAGACTAAACATCTTTATTTCAGAAAAGGGCCAAATTTTAATTTAATAATATTAGTTCTTATTTCATACATATCTGATTATGTTTTAAAAATTGCATTGTTGTCAATTACATTAACACTAAATGATAACGCAATGATTTTAATTATTTCTCATTGCGATGACAGTTGACCCTCAATTGTTTTTAGCAGAATCATTCCGCATCCATTAACGTTCACTGTCTGACACTATCTGCAGGTAAATTTATTTTTATTGCATGTTTGATACACTAACTTTACGAATCTTTATTTCACTTTTAATTGTTTTAAATTTGTATTTGAATAAGTGTTTATTTTTGGGCAAAATAAAATCACTTTAACTATAATAAATATTTATAAAATATCATAAAATTGAGATACATTTTGAGAATGTAGCGACGATAATTATTAAATTAAATAAATATTTAAAAATGTATCGTTATTTTAAATTATATGCACATAATTACAATTTTTCGGTACAGATTTGTTTTTTATTTTAATTTGAATAATATATTATGCCCAAGTTATGTTATTTTTATGCGTAGAATCATGGAAAGATAGTTGCTTTCTCCCTCCTGCCCACTACCTTCCAACATAAAAAATAAAATATCTACAGATATAAACAACAAATTTCTGAAAACCTATCGATAGCGACACGTTCACAATCGTAAGTAGTTCGTGGTACAGGCACCTTTTTATCAAATTATTAACATCCGCCTGAAACTTTGCAAATAGCTTCATCTCATCGTAACCTACAAATATTTTATCTACGAGAATTTTCGAAATTGGAGCGTTTTTAATCTGGAGGTCGGCAAACTTTGTCCATTTAATTAGGTACTTGTGTCCTTTATTGAGAAAGATTGTAATATTTATCAATAAAAAAATAAAAAAAATTAAGTACTAAAAACTCGTAAATACCCATTTACTTTCCACTTGGATCGTAAGATAATTTGATAACAAAATCGAAAAAAAGGGGGGCCTAAAAAATCTTGGACCGTTTGGCATATATAACTTCGTTATTTTGTCAATTTTTGGATGCTGGTCACGCCAAACGGCTCAATATTTTTTAAGGCCATATTTTTTTTTTCGACTTTGTCCTCAAATTGCTTTGTGCTCAAGAGTTGGCCGATCTCCAGATTAAAAACGCCCCAATTCCGAGAATTTTCGTAAATAAAATATTTGTAGGTTACGATGAGATGAAGGTATTTACAAAGTTTCAGACGGATGTTAATAATTTGATGAAAAGGTTAATAATTTTAGTCTGTACCACGGAATAAAGTGTTTGAACATTTTGAAAGTAACTAATTACGAAAAAGAAATCCTATACTTGAAAGAAATTAAATTAAAACAATTACTCCCTTCATCTTTTGGAGCTGTTTGTGCCCATGACTGCAGAAGTTTTAATGCATTTATAAAAGTTTTCAATTTTCTTAACTTGAGATCACAAACTTATTAGCTAAACTATAACATAAGTAGACCTTTATATTATTAAATTGGTTTTAATTATTAAAAATCTAAGATCAGTTCAATACTATAGGATTAAAAAAATGTCAAAATTAATAAAATAACCGTAATCCAGGAATAAGCAAAATTTTAATAAAATACACAATTAAGCCCAACATTCATCATGTAATTTATAAATATTAATGAAATATATCTAATATAAAATAGTATTACTAAACTAAGTAATGAAAATAATAAGATTCAATAATAAGTATAAGAAATAAATATGTAATTATCATAGTAACATACCCCTTTAAAAAGTCGAAGAATAGAACACTCATTTTCACTTAGCTCTTCTCAACTCGGTAAAAACGGAATATTATTATTAAAAAGCAACATTTCGCATAGAAAAAATAATAAAACTATTAAACAGCAAACACCGTAATAACGAAACTTTGCATAATATAATTTAAAAAACGTTACCAACAAATACACCTAAAACCGTTCGATGTCTTCGGCTTTTTTGTACAGAACTTTTTACGAATGGCGGGATTTATCCACTGCCTAAAAATTATGGATAACGCCAAATGAAGTCAGAAACTGTATTATTAAATTAATATTAGAAATTAATAAATTGAAACAAAAAATCAATGAAAAGTATTATTTACAATCGTAAAAAAAAAAAACTAGTACAAATATTAATATACATATAGTTGAACTTTGGTCTAATCCAAAACCATCAATTAAAGTTAATAGTTTAATATGAATATTCGAAGATGAATAAACTTGTTGTTATACCGATAAGATAAATTTGTTCTTATTCTCTTCTTAGACATATATTCCTAATTGTTAATCTATTAAATTGAACTAATATAATTTTATTTATAAGCTTAATTTTTTATTTCCTTTCTAGTTTTAAATAATTACATGATATGTTAATAAAATATCTCGAAACAGTTATAATAAAAAATATGTAAAATAGAAAAAATAAACTCTTCTGATTAAAATTGTCCAAAATTTGAGTGAAATATTTTCCATAACATCACTGCCCTTATCACTTCATGTTGTCTGTTAACCTGACTGAGTTGAGGAGTAGGTTTTATTTGTCAAGGGTTTGTTGTCACTAGTTAACTCAATGGTCTTAGAATTATTTTTTCTTGAGATATAAAGATAGCTTCAGTTAGTAAAAGTTATATATTTTTTTAGCCAAGATATTATTTTTTGTGCTTTTGTTATTTATAATGTTTATGTTATTACAGTTTTACTCAGTTTTAATCTAAATTGAATATTCTGCATAAGAGTGGGATAGTGATGATTCCTATTTTTCCTTCAAATAAAAGGTTTTATGGCTATGAATGGAAATTCTACAGGTGTTTATCATGAAAAACAGGTAAGAGTAGTGAGTCTCGCACATTATATGATAGCCCTAGCCCCCTTCTTAATTTAGTTAATTTTTGCATTGCTGTCCGCTTATTGAGTCAGCGGAGTTATTGAAAATACAAAACAATAGAAATATTAGTCATTCTATTTGAAGTGTCTAATTTGAAATATTGAACAGTTATTTATGTATTTGTGTTAACTCTTCAGATAAAAAGTTTATTTACTTATTCTATTTGGTCATTTCCAACTTTATATTGTTATTTAAGAGTATTATTATTAGAAATATTTACTATCACCTGCTCAAATAGAATTAAAATTTTATGTTTTTTTTGGCTTTTAAATGAAACTGTCCAGATGAATTCTTCAAATTCAACTTTTCTCGCATTGTCCTATCTTTTTTGGTAGAAGTAGTATGGTTAATATTTGTTAACAATATTAAATTACATAAAAAGGTTTTACTTGTTTTGGATATGTGTCATCCATAAAAACAAGAATAAAAAGCAAGTTTTCATATATTTATGTAAATTATGAAATGTACCTTACAATAGTAATATTTGTTTATTGGTTCGATAAGTATTACTAGTCTTAATTGTAATAAGTTTTCTTTTGGTTAACTCTTGCTGTTGAATATTTTATGGCCAAGTGACCCGATTAATATCCTCAGTATTGATTCTAGAATCATTTTGATTTTTCAGGACAGTTTTAAAGTGACTTTTTAATTCTTATCTCAATGATAAATTTATGCTCTCTTTTAATCAGTGATATTCATGTAACTATAAAATGTTAGGTTTATTTATTTTGGATCATTAATCTTTTTAAATTCATGTTAAAGGAATCTTTGTATTATATTTAATTTTTTTAATAGTGTTGACTGTATAGTAAAATTCTAAAATTGTCTGTGTACTAATCGTTAATCATTTCCTTTTTTTATTAGTATATATTTTAATACTTAGTTTTTATAATAGGCTAATTTTGGGGTATTGAATTGTCCGAAGTTAAACTGTCTTTAATAATATTAATGAAGATTTATTTTTTATTTGCATTTTTGGGGGCCATTTACTCTTCTCTGTAATTTTTTCTTAAATGATTCCTATTAACTTTTTATCTTTTAGAAACTTTTTTGTTTTTTGAATTCCTTTATGTTCTTGATATGAGAAAGAACTTTCGATATTCATAGTTTATCTCTCTCTTTGATATTTTTGCCATTCAAATAAATGCTCTGCAATTTACTGGACCAACTTAGTGTCAAATTCAAAAATCTGCTTGTTTATTCTACACTCCTTGGGTGTTATAATATTCAGAATCCACTATTCCTAATTTTTATTTGAGATTTGACCGAGATGGTTTAGTGGAAAGCTTTTTCCATTTTCATTCGAAATTTGTTTTGTATATGTAATCTGTTTTATCTATTAGAACAAAAACAATAATAATAATAATAATCTGTCAGAACTTCTTGCTTTTACTTTTGCATCTTCAACAGCCCACTCATTATACTCATTGGGTTATGTGATTATTCGTAAAGTGGGTCCCATAACAGTGTATTTATTTTTGCTATTTTATTCTTATGTCATGTACATGACCTTTGTTCTTTAAATATAATTGTTTGAGGTACATAGATTTTGTATTTCTATTAATAACAGATAAATAAGTAGTCTATTATTATTAATTATTTTGTAATATTGTCATTTTGAATGCATTCAATTGTTTTCGGTGTTCAGTGCATTCATTTCTGCTCGTTTTATCTTACTATACATCATGAACTAATAATAATATTAATTTGTTTCAAATGATTAATTAAATTGATTTAGTGTGAAATATAATTAATAGATTATTTCATAATATATCAGTAAAATCAATGTGATTTATTTTATTAATTAATACTTTAAAACTTATTGAGCTCCCAACTTTTCCATTTATTGATTATTAAAAAGACTTATTGACTAGATAAATTACATCTCATCAGGTAATATTCTGATGATTTGCCGTCTTTTTTGGACTATTGTTGTGAAGTGTGCTTGAATAGATTTGGTATTTATCTATTCTGTTCTGATGATTCCTGAATTAGAGAAACGTTGATGGGACCCTTCTTTACCGGTATTTAGAGATTTTTTTTCAGCACTTACCTGCCTGATAAGCAATTCAGGTGTTTGTACAGGTGGAATGTTACGCATACTTGTGTAACAATCCACTGTGGCCAGTAAATCAATTTCAATTTTTTCATCAGCTGTACACACTGTCTCCCAGGTGCAGCTACTTATATCCCATCCCTTACACTCTCAAAATGTAAAACTCTGCTTCTCCCAGCTGTTTGACCTGAGATGACCTATTGGCATTGCAGGCAATGACATTTTCCTCGATGATGGCTTTCTGCATCTGGAACAAAAAAAAGATTGATGTTCTTTCCATGTTGAAAAAGCTTTGTTTGAAAACCCGTATGCTCAGTGAGTAGACCCAGTAATCTGGTTCAACTCATTTCGCTGCTAACATGGAATTTCAGAGACTCTTTTGTGATTAGAATCTTCTACATTAGAAAAAACTTTTTAAAATGTTATTATTAATTCTCATTGGCTAATAAGCTCACATAATATTTCTGTTCAAAATATTGTAAAAAAAATGAAAAGGAAAAAATAATTGTAATGTTTTTATAGGTTAAAGAGCTATGTGCACTTCATGCTTTAAATAATTTATTTCAATCAAGAGAAGCTTTTACCAAATCTGAGTTGGATGAAATATGTCAAGCATTGTCTCCCCACGTTTGGATCAATCCTCATAAATCTTTTCTTGGGCTAGGGAATTATGATGTCAATGTAATTATGGCTGCTTTACAGCGCAAAGGCTGTGAAGCAGTCTGGTTTGATAAAAGAAAGTAAGTTTTTCAACAATTTTTTTAAACAATTATTAAATTTAGTGAATATGATTGATTTATTATTATCATTATTTAAATCTAAATAGACCTCCGGAATGCTTGGAGCTATCTCATATTCAAGGGTTCATACTCAATGTACCAAGTGATTATAGATTTGGTTTTGTTTTGTTGCCATTAAAGAAAAGACACTGGATTGCAATTCGACAGGTTTCTGGAGTTTATTACAATCTAGATTCAAAATTGGATTCTCCGCACATGATTGGTCAGGTATCAGTATTTTACATATCACATATCACTAGAATTTCTTCTTATAAAATTTTCTGTACACTTAATTATTTATTAATACTTCCATTAGTTTATTTAATCTTTGTTTTTATAGTTAATATTTATTGGTTATGTAGTGATAATTCTTAGTTCTTTACAATTAAATTAATTTATTTCAGGCGAACGATTTAATGGCCTACCTTAAAGAACAACTAGACAGCAGGGATAAAGAGCTTTTTGTAGTTGTGAACCAGGATGTTGAAGAAAAACATTTGTGGGAAAAGGAAGAAACACAGACTATTTCTAGATAATAGTCTTAAACTTATTGCCTTCAGCATTTAGTACAAAGGGACCTGACGTCTGTGTTGTCTTTAAACTTCTTTTATTATCCTTTATCAAATTACAATACTTAACTTTTTAAAACATATATAGTCTGTTTTGCCAAAGTAATAATATGTACTAATCTATTACTAAGGACCATCAAAATCGAAATTCATTTCTCGAAAGCCATCGCAGCTTTCTTCATTATATTTCAAGAGTACAAATTAGTTGAAGTTTTATAAAAGTGTGATATGATGTGTAAATGTTGTATATTTTTATTTATGTGTGAATGATATAAACAGGTGCTAAGTTAGATCCGACGAAATACTATGTTAGCTTCTATAGTAGCATTATATTTATGTATTACACTTAAATGCAAACTCAAAAAAGTCTTTTATATCTTTTTCTAAATTTCAGATTTGTTAAACACACCATATTAAGGATGTAACAGCATTTATTTTTTTATTTTAGAGACGTGTTGTTTATTTTATAAAATATTTTTATACTTGTGCCTAATAATTTATTTGTATAGTTGTAAAAAAAAAACGTTAACAGTGCCAGAATGCTTAAATCTTTTTGCATTTAATCCATTGAGGACAAAATCACAACATTAAATTAGTTTTAGATTTAAATATAAATAAATATTTATTTATTAAGTTATACACTATTTCTTTTTAAAGTTCTTTGTAAATAATGATCAAAATTATTTTTTAGAGAAACTAAGGAGGTTATCGAAGCTTTGAAGTGCTTTTTTCAATATAATTATTTATGTCAGATTACTTATAATAACCAATGCATTTCAATCTTCTTTTTTTTTTTAATTTCATTTTTCAATTTTGATTTTAATTAACTTGCTTACTTACATGCATGGCACTACGGTCCGTTAAGATCCAAAGCTTCTATTATACTGCTCGATTGTACTTTATCCATGACTTTGGAAACATTTAATCAACTATTGAGAATTTTTATCACTTGAAATGTCAGTTTTTTTTTTTGTTTTTTTTTTGTATAACATTAAGAACATATGCATTGATATAACGTACTAATTTGATTAATTATTCAAAAATACTCTTTGACTTTTTTAAAATTGTTTGAATGAAAACGATTTTTAACTTTCTTCTAAAAATAAATAAATTCTATAGGGCTTAGTTCTGTTCCTTATATTTGAAATTTAAAATTCTTCTTGGATTTTTTTCCCTCTCTCCTTGCCTTTTAGGCTAAACAGTATTTTTCCTGGGCCAGAGAAATTATGATAGAGTTGAATTTCCCTTCAGCACTGGGATTTGAATCCATAACCTTCGGTTTACCAGATTGCTAGACAACGCATGTTTTTCACACATGTTAACCCACCTCGGAAATTCTTGGCTATGTATGATCTTCTCATTTTGTTTTAATTTTTGTTATTATTTGTTACTAAATAGTAAGTACTTAAATCTATTAATCGTGGTTTACCCATTTAAATGTTAAAATATAAATGTAGTTAATATAGTATATTTGGTGTATCTTGAGCCTTTGATAGCTGCCTAGTGTGGCCTACTCGACAGTTCTACCTCAGCCAATATTGTTTTTAACAATTTTTTTTTATTCTTTTTAGTTTTTGGGTCAACCAATATCATGACAATATTTACATTTTTTTATAAAGCTTTTTAAATTTTTATCTTGACGTTAGTAAATGCATGCTGTATAAAAAAATATCTGAGACACAATTCACACCTATCGGACTACAGTGTGTAATTTTCTTAAATTATATTTATATTTTATTTGTATTGTAAATTTAAAAATGTTACTATAAATTACACTTTAATGTTTATATTTATCCTTTTTTTTTTATTGATTGTTTCCAGTCACTAAACTCTTGATTATTTCATTGTGATAGCTCGTAATCATGTGCAATATTGCTAATTATCAAATTTTATTAACAGAAATCATCAATTTAATCATGGTGGATAATGTTAAATTTATTGTTGTTTTTTTCTTTTTCTTAAACAATATGGTTGTTAGTTCTATTAGCTTCTTAGTATTTTATTACTTGTTATTGTTCAGTTGTTATGTATGACTTTTCATATTCTTTTTAAACTATATCATTCAATGTTTTATAATAAATTTTTCTGTATTGTACAGTTATCTATTAATTTATTAGTCGTATTCATTTTAATTTGATGATTGTTTTTAAGAGGTACCTGAAGTGGAAGTGGAACAAACATGTTTACTTTTTTAAGATGATAAGTTATTTATCTTTGATTGATTTGTCATAAACTTCTGAGAAACTAAGAAAAAGATACCTACTTTATTTTTCAATAAATAGAAGAAGTTATACAAAACTGAATTTTTAATTTTTGTTAGTTGTGCTATATAGAAATGTGAAGTTTATGATGGATGCTATTTATAAATCTTGTTTTCATGGCATACGATCTATCATTGTGGAACTGGCTTTATCAAGCTTCAAATTAATCTCTGAAGGATATTTTTTTATCAAAAGGTTCTTATTAGTTCAAATTATTTAATACAAAAACAACAAGATATTTAAATTATTAAATTGAACAAAGAAGATCTTAAAGTAGTATTTGTAAAGTTGAGTTGTTTTCTTTCTTGACAACTTCCGATAATTATCAATAGGATTTAGATTTTGACTGCATCTATCATTTTGAGCGATGATCACTCCAAGTCACAGGTGGATCGACGGGGAGGGGGAGCCTTATGGGCTAAAGCTCCCTCCCCTCCTCTCCCGCAAAAATGGTAAAATGTAACCATGTTTTATGGAAAAAAATATTCAAAAAATATCTATTAAAGTATTATTGTACGTGTAATTACATTTAATAGGACTTCAAGAATCACTTAAATACCATTTCATGTAGGTAGTTAGTATCTTTCTTTTTTCCAAAATAATTATCGTTATATACATGAAAAAAAAAAGCTTTCGGGATGAAACCTCTCAAAATTAAATCCTGGATCCGCAAGTATTCCAAGTATCAGATTTTCCAAATATTGAGAAATGGAGTATTTTTGTTTTTTTCTTTTATTTTGTTTACTGTTGTTATGTTGAGTAATTGTACATTTGTACTAATGTGTCTCTGATATCCTCTTTCAATATTCATTAAAATATGTTATTTATAAATTTTATTTGAATAATTTAAGTCAATTTTTTTAAAATGAAAATTTGGATCCATGAATTGAATTGTATTGCAAATAGGCTTTTTGTTAAAATAAAAATATAATTTGTTTTGAGGAAATAGTTTTAATTCAGATCTAGTTATAGTGTGCCAAATTCAAAGTATTTTAAACTTATTTTCAGAAATATATAAAATTTATTCAATAATTCTAATCAATTTTGTCATGCTTAGAAATATGAATTTGATACAATTCGTTTAAAAGATGTTTAATGTTTCAAATGATTAGAATGTAATTTTCAAGCATTGATTATCCTTGCTCTATTTAACACTAGATTTATGGACTAAAGAGAATATAATTTTTAATTCTGATAAATATTTATATTCAGATTAATAAAATTAGACATAATTTTTCAATTATTTTATTAATGTTATTAGATATTTTAACAAATAGAATGCTAGATTTTTAATTTGAATCTCTTGTCAGTTTAAATTTTGTCTTTTCATAATATTAGTGAACTTTGTTGGAATGGAATCGTAATTTGATAAATGCTTGCTTGATTCATTCAACCATATAGACGTAAGTGCATGACACCGCAATTATCCATTCTTATTGGAACAGAGACAGTGCTGTTTAAGTCGGTGAGCCGGTTAATCTGTAGTGCAAAAAAAAAAAAAACTCGTGTTAATTTAAATTTTATGTTTTGTAAAAATCAAAATACGATACAAAAAGTTAATCAATATGTTGTATCTATATTAATATATAATGAAATTGAATTTATTTGACCAATTTGTTATAGTTTAAAAAAAAATAAAAATTCTTCGGGTACATGATTTTATTTAAGCATACTAACAATAATTCAGTTTTTAATATCATTGTGAAAGTTTTTTTGTATTACTAAACTTACCTTTTTCTTAAATTTAAATAAAAATGTGCCATTGGCAATATTGAAAAAAGCTTGAGATACTTATCCTTTTTACTTTTACTTACCTACATATGTAATAAATAGTTGGAAAAAGTATTGCCATCGTGAAAATCTTCGAATCGGAGTTTTCAACAGAAATACATGGTTTGAGGTCACCTGATTCAAAATAACCAAGTCCCGCAAAATGGTCTATGTGTGTATGTGAACAGCCTAGCTCAAAAACGGAAAGTCGTACGAAACTTAAATTGCATATTCAAGCTTTATATATGGCTCAGATGTGACAGCAAATTTTTCATTAAAATCGGCTAACCTTACGATTTTTATTAAACTCCATGTAATAATCTATAATAAAGTAATCTTTAATATCATTTAGGTCTCATTCCTATTGATGTTGCTTAATAGGGCTTAAATGTCCAATGTTAAAAATGTCTTCCTTTTTGATAATTGAATAAAGGAGAAAAATGCTTATCCAGGTCGAAAATGAATCTCCGGAAATAATAGTCAGAAGGTATACATATAATATATCGTTGGAGTGAGAAGAATTTTAAAATAAACAATATCTAATAAATAAATTTGTAGAAGGTAACGGAGAGTGATGAAAAAAATATAATTAATAATTTCTGAAAACTAACATTATTTAACGTAAATCACATGTTTCCAAGAAAATTAAATGAAATTTTCCTACTAAATGTAAACTTTGAAATTTTTTTTTAGTTTGAAAAAGTATTTAAAATCCACCGAATCAAGGCAATGACATTTTTTAAAATACTATTTCATTGTACTTGTGTGAAATATTCCATGGATATGTTTATAATCTTTAATACATTTACTGAAGTTTAATAAGTCTAGATCTGATATTATGTTTAAATAATTACGTATCTCACGTCTGATTATCATGTAAACTTTCAGAAAATTAAATAAGTGAATCATTTTTAATTATGATATTACAGCAATAACCACTTATAATTAGTGTGGCAACTTTTCACCTATCTATGACAGACAATGCAAATCTCGTAATTCTATTTTATTAAACTATGCAATGAAAAATAACAGTTTAATAACTAATAGTGTACGGCTATTAATCCTCTCTGGTTTCTTGTTCTATTAATACCTTTAAGTTCAGAGGTCAATATTTACTTTAGTTACTTGTTTTAGTTTAAATGATGTAGTTCTGATAATAGATTAAATGCTGAAAATAGCCAACTATATGAAACAATTTTAACTTTTTTTGCACGTTAATCAACTCAATGTTTTCCCTCTAGACCTGTATTTGTGATTGTAGGCATAATGTTACCTAAAAAAAATACTTATAGATTCTGAAGCTTGGAATCTGTCACATTGAGTGGTTCCGTAAATCTGGTGTTAATTAGTTATCTAATAAATAATCTCCATGCATTATTTAACAGTTATGTATTTGTCATTGTTCTAGGTTTTTCCCCCACCAATTCATTTTAAAAGCACTTGTAAAGCTTTTATTGTGTACTTAAATGGAATGAAAATTGATTTTTTTATTTTAAAAAGAGATTATTTTAAATACTTATTTTATAATCTTTTATAGATTCATTATGTCAAACATTTTAAAATTATAGTTGATAAATTTTAATTATAAAGCACTATTACAATATAATATACACCGCCATGCTACATATTGTATTGGAAATCGTTTTACAGAATTCTTATTATAAATAGAATTGTATATTGTACTTAGAGCTCACTTTTTATACTACATATCTTTTTAACAAAATAAAAAGGTTTTTATGTTTTACTACTTTTATATGTAAACGCTTTTTTATATTATTTCAACATGTGGCAATAATAATGATGTGAACGAGTCGTGGACCTCTGTAAACAAAGAGAAGGCCTATATTGTTTAACAACACTTATTGTATTGGAACAGTTTTCGACTACTTGATCAGCAATAAATAGAAGATGTAGTTTGTTACTTTTTATACACTAGATTTTTATAAGGATTGTGATCATTATAGTAATAGTTTATTCAATAGAATTCTCAGTCGTGTATTTATGAGAAGTAAGAAGTGCATTTTTGCAGTTGATAATTTTTGGAATCACTCCTTTCTGAATTTAATAAATATGTGGATTTAAATTTATTTTTGTTTTGTTTTTATTTTACTGTTATGTTTAGATGTTGCCATTAATTCTGTGGTTTTGTTTTAATAAAAATTATTTATGGTTCGTTTACTTTTTCTTATTATTAACAACTCCTAGAACCCTAACATCTATTTTCACATATTTATCATTCAATAGTTTTTTAAATTAAAGTTGTCTATTGAATCATTTATTTTAAGAAGTTTACAACTCCAAAATTATTGATGTATACTTTTTTCAGAAAATATATTCCCTGAAGGTTGATCTAAATAATTTTCATATAAAGAGAATAAATTTATTTTTCTAAATGGACGAAAAGGATATTTTAAAATGTAAAATTTATCATTGATTTTATAAAGGTTATAAGTCCTGGATTTGTGATGTTTCTAAAATAAACTGAACAGATGATAGCACTAAAGTCTTAAATTTATTCATGATAAAAAAAGAATTATCCCATTTATTACTTCTTAAAACCACTTAAAGAGAAAGATAAAACTAAATTCTTTTCTGTTAAATTAGAAAAATAAATTAATATATTGTTTCCATAAAAGAAGAAATAGATATAGCAATGATGAAATTGAGAAGTTGAGTGCCCATTTTGGCTATTCGTAAAATGCACAATCTTTTCAGGAAAATATCCTAACTTTTGAATTTCTTATTTTATTTCTTTTTATCAATTAAAAATATTGTCTAGTGCTATTAAAAAAAACGTTAAGAAAAACTTTTCTTTCCCTTTTATATAATATAATAAATTTATTTATGTTTTCTTTCCCAAATATTTTGTATTCCTGAGTTCATTTTAAGAAGCATAATTTCCTTATCCAACTGATGGAGGGGTGGATGAAAAATTTAACAAATTTGTATTACAATTTAAAGAATTTCATCACAGAATACATTGTATTTTTTTTATTTTCAGGCATTTAAATTATAACGTTGACATTCTTTTCTGGATTACTCAAAACTTATATTTGGTCGTTATGCCCTTTCTAACATAAACAGTTGAATTAAAAGCTTATAATAATATTTTTGGCTCTAAAATATTTGAGAGGGTAGTTGATGGCCATATAATTTCTGTTAAGGAAAGAGAGGAACTAAATTCAATGATTCTTTTTCTGTGTTCTTCCCTCTGATGGCCAGGTCAGATACTAAAATGAATAATTCGGTAGTCTCCCAGGTTCCGTAGAGTTTTATTTGCATTTCAGTTGGAGTGGACCAGATTAGACTCCTTTGCTAGGAATAGATTATTCCCATTTGGTCGACAACCACGAAAATTGTGACAACTTTCAGACAACTCTACCGCTGAATTCACATGGAAATTATTAGGGATTTAAGGCTCCATATGCAACATGAAATGGAATAGACCAGATCTTCGTTAATCAATTCGAACCAAAGATATACAATAAAAATGGATGAGATATGATTAATTTCATATCTTTTTAAATTATAGTTTAAAAAGATATGAAATTAATGTCGGTTGGGAGAGCAGTATTTCAACTTTCCAACAGTCATATTAATGATGAATTTGGAGAAAATCCTGAAGAGTTATGAATGATGGGCAAAAAAAGAACCATCCAAGAAAATCAAGTACAAAAGGTTAAAAATTCATATTTAAGAGTTTCAAAGGACCCTAAACATGAATCTAACTTGCTTTTTCATAACAAAAATTTACTTCGCCTACATTACTGGCAGCTCCTTTTGGTTTTTATAATTTATGATACATTAAAACTCATCCAATACCATTGTCAATATTTTTTTCATATTCTACCCAAAAAATTAATTTACTGGTATACTATAAACTAAAAATCCCTTCAAAGCAAAGGCAAAAATAAATTTTATTTGAAATTCTATAATTTTTTTTTTTCTTGGCTCCTAGGGCTCATTGAAAGGAACGCTGGGTAGCACAGAAAAATGTTTGTTTAAAATCGGTGACCCATTAGACTGTTTCCTCCCCTTGCTAGTGAAATATTAAATAAAAATTCTAAAAGATGAAAATTAGGTAATCATAATTTTTATTTATAGATATATTATTACCCAAGTAAGTTAAAATGTCTTTTACTACAACTATTTTACTAATGTCCTTACCCATAGTGTCGGAGCAGTCTAGAGTAGAAGAGAAAACTTAAAGTCTGCAATTTTTCATCAAGTTCGTGATAAAACTGTAGACTGTTATAAGATACAAACATACTCTATGTAAATAGAACAATAAATTATGCACTTTGTGAGAAATCTTGTATTTATTTACAGTTCTAACCAAAATCTAAGCTAAAATATCAAACAACAGATAAACTTTTACATAGTGTGTGATAATTATTTTCCATTTCATAGGACATTAATTGTTTTATTATCTTACATAAAATAAAGCTTTTTATCATAAAAATAAATTTAAACAACTTTAAATTATAATACGTGTGAACCATTGAATTCAAAAGTGGTGGGTGTTACAAAATTAAGCTTTGAATTATTTAACACTTTAGGGCAAGATCTGTTCTGGTTATTGTAGAATAATAATTGGTATTTTATGGTAACCAATGATAACATAATTTCTCTGTTAAAAATAGTCTCATGCATATCCAACTAATTAAAAGTATGAAGTTAATATACCCAGTAATTTGTTAATTATTTATTATAAAAATGATATTTATCACTTTTACATTCAATGGCTCATATATTATCGATAAGATCTTGTTTATTAAAACTTATTATCAATTGATTATTCATTACTGATTGTGTCTCAATTAATGTAGCAGATCTTAGAAGTATTATTTTGATTTCATTTTTTAAAGAACTTTATTGCTTTAAGTTTAAAAATAATCTTGTTAATTTAGTTTCAACTCGTTGCTTCATAATTTAAAGAATTCTGCTTTTTTATTAGGAACTTTTGTTCATTCAATTACTATAAATCTAACATAAATATCAAACTGAAAAACAAATAAATAGATTGGATGGAAGTTTAAATCTAACTGCACTCTTTGTTTGGTGTTAAAAGGAGCCTATCCCTGTTTATTTTTAATTTGTCAAGTGTTGAATAGACAATAGTTCTTGCATCCACCGATATGTCTGTTGTCCTTCCTAGGACCCAAATAAAATCTGAAAAAATAGGACATAACATTAAAAATTATAAATTTAAATGATAAATAAATAGATTCATTGATTTATTTTTTATTACAGATTATTTTCATAATTTCTGTTAGATAAACAAAAGAAAAGGTGTCTTTTTGATTAATGAAAAAAGTTTTACATAAACTTATAACTTTTATAAAGTTATTTATTTATTTCTTGTGAAGTTAACTTTCAAAAGGGCACATGTTAATAATTAGATTAATAAAATATTCGTGCAATAGGATTAATCCTCCAAACATTTCCTTTTAAAACTAATTAAACAAATCCTTTTCTCAAGCAAGACTTAAATTAATGAATTAACTTGTATTCCCACTTATTTTTTCATCAATTGAAGCATTTCTCTAAACTTAATTTATGTACTTTTGAAAGTAACATTCTCGAAGAATCTTTTTCATGTCAGTTGTTTTGCCAATTTGGTTCTTTTATGGATACCCCCAAAAATTACTATGCTAATGAAACATAATGATAGGATGCTAATGGCAACCAATATCAAGCAAACTCAAATACGTTTGTAAATCTGGATAAGAAGTGAATTAGAGGATATCTCAAGAGACTGACTAACATCTTTCAATAATTTTCTCATAGTAAAACATGTATTTGAAAACTAATAATTTTATCAAAAGATATTATTAAATACCAGAATTTTATTAAATTTACTTTTTAGAAAAATATATTTATTCTACAACTAAACTGAAAAAAATAAAATAACATTTAAAAAAAAAGAAGCAGATTGATATTAAAAAATTAAGGGAACAATATTAAAAGAAAAGAAGAATATCCAATAACTTTACATTCTGTGAATCTAGGACTGCTACTGGTGGGGAGAACTAGTCTAACAAGTGGGCCCCATTGTAGTCCTTTTTGCCAACTGCTGACGTCTACCTTGAGGTTGTCAGCGCATATTTGCCAGAGTTTGAATGTCACAAACCATTACCTGGGGCTGCCGAGAAATGTAAAGGATAAAATACCGACCCAGGTGGGAATCAAACCCACAACGTTCAGCACGGATCTCTCTGGACCCCATGCCCCAACGTGCTCAGCCATCCCATCCTTTTCTATATTCCTACTTAGTCTTTTAATGCATTCAATAACCTTCAGTGTAGATCATACTTTGAAGGAGACCATTGTTGAGGAATTAAATTATGTTTTAAATTTAATAAACTAATAGGCAATGCCATATTCATTAATCTGCGTAAAATAATTATAAAAATATTCACCTGCATGAAGAAGTCTGAAGTCTGTGCAGGAGTATATCAAAGCAAAATCCTTGTAGTTTGTGTCTAGTACAATGTATTTACCACTCCCTGGAGCTAGTCTCGCTAACACTGATGGTAAGTTGCTCTGAAGTATCATGTTGAAAACACCAGGAGTCGCTGAGACGTCATCCACAACGTATGATGATTTACTTAATGTCCCTCTCCTTAAAATAATTGTATTAATTAGGTTATTTTATTTATACAATATTTCCTCACAGGAATTTTATAGTTAAATTGAGTAGTACAGCTATTTAATTACATCATATGAAATTTCAGTAACATTAAAAAAAACAATAAATACAATAAAAAAATTATTAACTGACAAAATTTGCTTCATTAGCTTCCCAGCATTATTATTATTTAACATTAAATATAAATATACGTGCTGCCTCAGAATTGGGTATTGCGAATCCGCATGTAATGTGCTTTCCTTAGAACAGTAGACTTTTGGACTTTCCTCATTATTCGGTCATAAGGAAGAACCTTAATATGCACGAAACGATCCAAGAAATGTTACAGGATTTCTTGAACATAATCGGATTTTACAATAGAGTATATCTAAGTGAAAAAATGATTGCTAATTACCCTATTGGGTAGAGACAAATTCAATAAATAAACAAATTTAGCTCTATCAAAATATTGAATTCTATGTGTGATGTTTTTATGCACCTTAAAATTTACTTCAAATGAAAATTTGTCGTTATTACCGGGAAAAATACACTCTATAAGCCACATTCCATGTACATATATATTTTTGATACTGTAATTATTTATTTAAAATAAGAAAAACAATTGATCCATTAATTATTCTAGGCACATAAAACCGAACTGGATTTTTTAAATTAATTGCTCATCGAACAAATAGTTATTCTTATTCAAATAACGCCTAAATTGAAGTCTGCTGGACAGTGTATATATTTTTTATTCCTTAATATTTTACTAGAGCATATTTCTTAGTAATTTTCTTTTATTTTTTTTTAATCATTTATATGCACATCACATTTACAATTATAAACCATATTTACATTTTGTAAAGTTGTTTTTTTTCAATTAATGTCCATGCCTTGTTTGTACTCCTATTGAAGGCCATCAAAATGGACCAAACCGCCGAAAATAATTCAGGATTATCATGTCTTGTAATATGCCTTAAATAAAAATTGTTTGGCGAGATATTCCTACAACTGATCGAAAGAGGCCAGCACTATTCAGCAGAAGCTAGTTTCAACAGTCGACAACAGACAGCAGTAGCATCCAATCCTTTGTGTGTTGTAAATATTTAGCTCTGTCAAGACTGATTCCACATCAAACACGCCAATCCCATCAAGTCACGTCTAGTCCATCTAGTCAATGCTAAAAAATATCCAACGCGTAACAGTCCCTTCAATCTAACATTAAGAAGTGTAAACTCTTGTCACATAGAATGCGTCCCAGTCAAATCGGGTATAGACCAGTCCCGTCAAGTAGAAGGGGAACCACGCCAGTCTTGATTCTGTTGAGTCAGCCCAGTCAATCCCCGTCTTTTGTGTTCTAAATATTTTCTAGCTTCTTTTTAAATTTAATTTACAATGAATTGTGAAAAACTGATCCAACTGGTGAGAGAACGGGAGGAAATTTACAACTTAAAACACCCTCATAACCGCAATAGAGAATTTATAGCTGGCATTTGGAAGGATATAGCGAGAAAATTGAAAACTTCTGGTAAGTTTTTTTTTTTTTGTAAATCAATCTTTTTAAATTGAAAAATAAAAAATAGATTTAACTTAAAATAGTGGCGTAGTTTGACATCCAATGCTATCTCTTCGATCTTACTCTAGAGAATTACAATAAAGTTCACTATTCAAGAAATATATTTTCAATCACACTATCCTCTTTAATTTTTGCAATTTATTAATGCAAAACAGGAAATCTTGGAATCGATACCTTGCCAATCATTCGCCTGTTGCAAATTTGTTTTTGAAAAATACCAAATTTTTTCCAGTATGTCAAAAATGCATTCAACAGTGAAGGGTTCAACGGAGAGACTGATTGAATATAAGTTTAGGAAAATCTAGTTGCGTATAGTCTTGACAATTTGTAACAGAGGGGTAAAGGTTTGTAACAGACCAATTGCGGATTCAGAATTCAATTTGAGAGAAGGGAGATTTTTTTTTCAATCGGTGGTTACAGATACCAAAATGCTTTTAAGGATGAAATGTATATTTTTTTATTTAATACCTGCATTCATTTGGTAGCTGAAATATATGCGTTATAATTTAAAAAGATAACATACAGTGATAGATTATGTATTTGGCTCAGTTCGCTCTAATGGAACAAGGAAAAAATTATTTTCCTAATTGTAGTTAAAGATTAGTTATGGCTCGTGTCATGGTGTTATAAAATCTTCCTCAATCAATACTTTCTGTCGAAAAGTAATATTTCAAATAGGACTGGTGAGTGAGTCACTAATGAGTCAAATAGTGACCTGAAATTAACTCATAAAATAAACGAGCTTTTCAGCTTTTTATATTTGTATAGTGCAATATAAACTAAATATAATATAATAATGATAACTAACGAGTGCCCAGAAGGGATCAAGTCGTGCCATCAAAAGTTTTGAGAGGCTCATTTTGAAGGGAATTTGAATTTTTTAGGCAAATTTCAACTAGCTTATGAACTTTTAGAAAAAAGCATATTTTTGTGGAGTTTATATATGGAATTGAAACTACTCAATAGTCTAACGTAAGAGTAATTGTATATGATTTACAATTTTTGTAATGCTACTCTTGGTTGAAATGTTTTCAAGAAGAGGAGAGCATTAAAATATTTTGGGAGGAGGGAGGGTGTGCAAAATCGACTTTAGACAGATTTATCTCTAAATGACCAATAAGAATAATATTTAATTTTAGATTTATTCCCATATATTTATCATCGATATCACTGTTTCAGATGCAGAGGCCAAAAACAAGTGGCAAAATCTTAGGAGTAATTACATGAGAGAAAGGCGTAAACTGAGAACAATACCCCCTGGAGCTGAGGCAGAAGCAGCTAAAATCGGCTGGCCATATTTTTCATTGATGTCATTTCTGGACGGCAGCTTGCAGATAAAAAGGACGGTGGAAAGAATGGAGAGAAGCAATAGATTGAAGTTGGACAATTTTTATGAAGGTATCTTTGGTTGGGCGAACGAGGAAACAAATGCACACTGGGATACCGATTCGTTGAAACGGGCCTCACCTGTGGTACCACCGAATTCGAAGGAAAAAATGCTGAAACAAAGCAGTTCGGATGATGAAGAAGACAGGAAATATTTGAAGCATTTCGAAACTGTGACCTCTTCCTTCACAGACAACGACGATCCAGATCTTTTATTTTTTAAAAGTTTGTTACCTCAAATAAAACAATTGAACTCAATTGAAAATTTGAGTTTTAAAGTTGAGGTGGTTCAGTTACTTCTGAGGAAACTCCAGCAAGCTTCCTCAAGTACACCAAATTCTACCCAAAAATATACACGTGTTTCTCTTCCTTCCCACCCAGAACTTGATAAATAATATCTCCTGATATATAATATTTTTCGAATGTTATTTTATATTCATACTTTGTAATTATCTTTATATTGATAGCAGATAACATCCTTGCTATCGTGTTAATTTCATCTCTGAATTTCCTGGTCTCATCGATCATTACACCCAAGTACTTGAAGTTGGGAATCTGTTCTCTCCTCACTTATGGAAGCGAATCTTGGACAGTAAGTCAATGCGGTCAGAGCTACCTCCAAAGCATGGAAATGAAGTATCTGAGAAAAATAGAGGGAGAGACCAAGAAAGAACGGACACGTAACACAACGATATGGACTACACGCAAAAGTGAGCGCCTCAATTGAATTATTGAGAAAGAGCTGCTTCGACGGTTCAGTCATTTTAATGCCAGGAATGAGGATGGATGACTGCCGTTCAGAAAAGAAAACCATGGAAGCTAAACTAGCTGGAAAAGGACCTAGAGGATGACCAAAAATTATTTGGTAGGATAACCTCAAAATATCCTTTAAAAAAAAAGGATAGGACAGCCGGAAGCAAAGAGAGTAGCTCTCGAAAGAGACAGGTGGTACTCCTTGTGCACATATCTCTACACTGCGTGGTAGAAGAGACCATCGAATAAGAAGAAGTTTTGTAATTATAATTGTTTGATGAAAGTTTTGATTTCATATAGACTAATGCAATAAAGTATTAATTACATATTTTATTATATATAGCCGATTCTCTGGTTCCATTGTCTTCGAATAATTAGCGTTTTGCTTTTCAATTATCTTTCAAACCATGTCATTAAATTAAATAAGTTTTCCATTGCTTATCCGGGAAAAAAAATATACAATTTTTTACGGGTCGTTCACTAAGTCTGGAAGATTAAATAAGTAAAAAGGTTTCAGATATTCTTCCTGACATTGATGGATTAACCTTTAAACAGGTCTGCCGTCAGGGGACACCAAAGAGAGGGGGTATCCCATGGAGCCCCATATGATTTGACTAAGTTTCTTGAACGAACATTTGACAATAAAAATAAAGTTTTAATATATAATAAATTATATCACGCACTTTGATTATAATTTGACAGTGTTGTATAATTTATAAATATGTACGTTCGTAGTTTGAAGAGAAAAGAAACTTATATCTATTAAGTTTAGGTTAGTTAGCAAATACAAGTTCCCCCTTTGGGTAGGATAGCCTAGGCAAGTACGGAAGGAGGGGAAGAAGGCCCCGCCACTTTTCGGTAATTAAAAAAAAAATACAAAGCGTTTGAGACTGATTAATTTTAGCCTATTAATAAATCAACTGAATTAGAGATATATTGAATCAAATGCAATTCAAATATTACTTAATATAAAATAGTCATTGTTCGGGGGGAAAGGGCCAATGTCTAGAGCACTTGCAAGGATATTGAATTATGACTCGATTTACCAGGAGAAGAAAAGTATTGTAAATATAAAGCAGTCAATTGTTATAAATTGTAATATCGTTATCATATAATTTTGTACAAATTTCTGTTTTATTGAATGTTAAACAATAAAATCTTTTTATTACAATGTAGTATGAAGTTTCGTTTTCAAACCTTTGATGGACATAATTATTGTTTTAAATGGCATTATAGCATTAAAACATTATGAAATACTTTTGTAAAAATTTGTATTGTATGTTAAACAGTAAAATCTCGTTTTTAATTTTAATGCGATTGTAGCAAGTTTCGTTTTCATAAAACTATAATCAATGTATTAATATCATAAATAAACAAGATAAAATATTAAGTAGGAGGGAGCACACTATTATTTTTCTCGGGGTCTATTTGAGCTGACAACGACTTAAACTATAAGGAAGCACGTTCTTAAGTCATCAATGGTGGAACCATCTCTAATCAACCTCTTTGCTTTGAAGAAATATAAAAAGAAACTGTTTATTAGCCTATAAACAAATATTACGTTCCTGTATACTATGTGCTAGATGAGGTTTAAGCAAGTCAGCCATCTTTCGGAATAGTCAACATTTTATTTGCTTACTTTTCATTATCATTTAACATGAGCACTAAACTTTGTAAATGTTTGGACCGCGGATGAATCTTATTTATTTTTTATGAAAACCCAAAATTAAACGTACTGAAAACTGATTTTTATCCGAAAACCTACTTTCTTATGAAGATATGACTAGACTTGGGTTTGAAACCACAGATATATAAAAGATAACCCGTGAATGACCAAGACGTATAACAGGGACCTGATTGGGTTGATATATTTTTAGTGTAAACAAATCTGAAGCTCCTGTTGTATTCTAATGTTGATAAAAAAAAAATCCTTTTATTCTGATACTAAAAAAAAAATTAAAATTTTATGTCTATCATTTTGTATTCAATCGATCTTAGTTAAAACAATATTTTACATAGAATCATTAATGCTATTCAGGAGTGAATTTTATCCATAAGATATCTTAAATACAAAATAAGTATTGTGTTTTTTATTGAGAAATGTGAACAAACTTAGTCCCCATCTGCTGAAAGACTCGGGTGCACTGAACACGGTATATCTCGGCAATCTGATATCTCGTGGTGATCTGGGTAAGTAATCGATATATATGTATATTCCACCATCACACATTTTATTTTTGATTAAAATTTTTACGACCGAGTCAAATTTTGTAAACTTTTGAGGGTCTCGGATCTAGTTATATTATTATTTATTTCACTATTACAGTCACATAGAGTACGATTTTCAGCAGCTATCTATAAAATCTATATCGCAGGCCGTGTTCATTGAGTATGAGTCTTTTTCAAAAACTCATAAATCAAAGATTCAATACCTTTAATCATAGGCACTTAGGAAATATTTGGGTGCGAAGATTAGTGTATGATAACTGAATACTGTTGAATGCATAGATGAAGAGAAAAATTCCCAACACAATTTAAAAGTTCAGTAATCAGTTTATTAAGAGTAATAAATAAAATTATACACATATCACCTATATGTCCGGGTGCGACTGTCGGGACGCCAGCTTATTAGAAATTATAAAGCTTTTAGCTTATCAATAAAACAACTAAATTAGACAATATTGGATGAAATAAAATTAAAATATTAAGCAACATAAAGCAACTCAAAAAATTGACTTCGATTTTGGTAGTGGGGAGAGGGTGAGGAGATGATTAAGGCACTCGTGTCATAATTGTCCAGGGGCGTCAAGTTTTTAAGACCGGTACTGCTTTTATGGTTATTGAACTTTTTGTAGGCTATTTTCAAGCATATGAATTCGAAATAATGGAGAGGGTGGCCCTCTTCATAAAATATTGGGGTTCAGATAGGACATTACTCCACAGTGCCCTATGCCCTTAATATCTGTCGTTCCGAAATACTCATCATTTCTAGTATTTAAAATAATGTTAAGTTTAGACTGTTAAGTTTAGACATTTCTTTACAGTCGTTTTCAATTAGCTTAAAAATTAATACTCGATTGATTACAAATCCATTCATCCTTATGAATATTTGAAAATATAATTTAAATAAATTCTGTTTTTTTTCTACAAGCGAGTTTAGCGTTTTCCAAATTATATTATAAATATAAATATTGAATAAGTAAGGAATAAATTGCAAATAAATGTTACAAAATAAGGATCAGCAAAATACAGAAGACATGACAGATTTCAGTCTGTTGAAGTCAGGTATAACCAACCTATCTGAACCAGCTGTCTGAATTTAAGTATCAGCTAGACAGTTCAGACATGACAGTAAAAGTTAACATTATTAGTGTAAGCTTTCCTAATATTTAATTTAACTCTAACATGAAGTTAAGTCTCAAAACAAGCTTTTAATTTGGTTACAATACTTGGCCTTCTCCCCCCCCCCTTCCATTATCTTTAAACTCCATGGTGTATATTGTTAAATATTTTGTGGTAGATTTTTACATATAAATTAAATAATCTAAAATGTTTTGTTAATATTATGTTTTAAAGTATTCAAAAATATTTAGTTTAAACGTTTACACTTATTATTAAATATTTGATAGTTGGTAATAACTTGGCGGTTTTTTACTTTCAGTTCTGTTTAATTTTGTTTAATTTCATGATTCAATTGGAAATATGTTTATTGGTTTCTCGGAAAAGGTATGACCTTATTTTTTCTTTTAAATAAAGAATTTAAAAGCAACAATTATAATTTTCAGTATGAAAAGAAATATTTTCTAATTTAAATAGTATATAGTATCTAGGAACTACATACTATCCAAATTGATTGATTTTCATTATCATATAGTCAAAACTATTGCAATTATAATTACAATAGTATGATATATAATATGAATTATATACAAATTTACTATTGTTTACAAGAAATAATTCTAAATAGTATTGTTTGGCATCAGCAGCTATGAATAATTGTTATTTTCTAATTTTTTATTTCAGGGTTTGATCAATTTGGATTGTGACTTGTTCTTGTTTCAATTTTTAGATTACATTCTGATTCATGGTATAAACTATTGTTATTTAGATCAATCTAATTACCATGGCACGTTGTACTGCACTTCTACTTTCATTGTGTCGTTTGGAAATACAGTAAAGTTGAGTTTCGGGCAGGTTGTTGATGACTCAAATATGTAGAAAGATCTTTCGACTTCCACCCATTCTCCTGTGAACTTAAATAAAATTATTATTTAAAAACAAAGAATATTTTGTAAGTAAATAGCATATTTGTTATTAGTGATTCTCTAAAAGGGTTCATTTTGTAAAATTTATAATTACTATAGCAGTGTAGTAGCACTTACACATGAATAAAATTAATTACCAAAACAATCCATTGGAGGTATTAGGTTCAGTACTGTGTAAAGAACTAATGTTTCTTGGTTGACCGTTCTGCAAGGAGGTAATTTGACTGAGGTAACTGTTAACCACCAGGTTTTCCTCCTTAATTAATTAAATTAGAGCTCTAGACATGGCTGTGTTTAAAACTTTTTATTGTTTGTACTTATCTCTTTTGTTCTGTACACTATAAAGAACATATTTTCATTTAACTTTATTTTGTCATTTAAATTAGTACTTATGGAAAATTAATGGTCTATTGCTAGTTGAATTAATTACAGGCGAAACGTTTCTATTGAGAAACAACTGGTGGTACAGTACCATTGATATAAATAATAATAAAAAGGTAACAATAGCAAAAATGCTAGAAAAATAAATGCTGCCGTGGATTCTAAGAATGTATAAATATATTTATTACTTCTATATTTTTCTTCATATTATAAAAGCTTTGTGTTATTAATTATACTGCTCAAAGCTTTAACATTGATACTAACTTACTAGATGTTTGTTTAGACTTAAAATCTGCCTTTAAAATTATGAATAATTCTATTTCATTGAACCTATGGGTTACCTCAAATTGATACCTTTTAAAACATGGGTGAGTGCTGGTTGTAAGATTAAATTTTTTGTGTTATTGGAGTGAATGGACTACCAATAACTTGGGTAAAAAGGAACAAAAGAAGGAATTGCAGAGAATAAACATGACTCACTATTCAAAAAATTTCTTTCATAAATGAAAGTTGTTGGTAAACAGCACTAGATTTAGTTTTGGATATTTGATAAAATTAAGAATAGTTGAACCTCTTTTAAAATGTAATCAAGCAGACTTCCAGCTTTTTAGGAGTGTGTATCGCTGATTATCCTAAGGAAAGCACTCATCACGTTCACATGTGGGGTACTTTATGAACCAGGGAACAATGGTCAGTGTATCTCTTATAGAATACATTTGATAATGTTGCATAGCAATGCTTAAAATGCTTAAAAATGCATGCGAAGCTAAAGTAAAAACACGACTCCAATAGAGCAACAATATTGAAAAACAGCAGAAATATGTTAGTAAAATTGGTATTATTTCTTGAAAAAAATATATACTTTTCTTCACTTATTATTGTTAGCCATGTCTTTCCTTTATTTATTATTGTTAAAAAAAAGGATTGATAATTTACAGATTGTTTATAGTTGATTTGTTTCGTTTAGAATGTAACATTTCAATAGAATTTTTAAAATATATATATATATATATATATATATATATATATATATATATATATATATATATATACATACATAAACAAATAAATAAATAATGTTAATAAGACACAGTACAGGGCGAAAATGATCCTTTTGGTTAAAGATTCCTAAATATTACTATAAATATATAAAAGATTTCTTCAACAACAAAACAATTCCTTCAGGTTTAGCTTCATATTAATAACCACCCTGCAAAAGTCTGTTAAAACAATTTTAATTGGAAATGTGGTTGTGAGATTTCTATTTTTCAGAAATACAAAAGAAAATTTATATGAAACATTACGTCTTTGCTTCAAGGATGCAATTAAAATGAACTAGTCCAACATTTTTTGCTGTCTACTGAATATTTTTAGTTTGTGCACTTACCAGCATTAAAGAACAGGGCTATTTTGAATGATTTTTTTTTTATTTTCTATTTATTTTCATTTCTTTAAAATGTTAAACATCCATAAGGTTCCCTTTGTCCCAAATAGATACAGCCATTATCTATTATTTTCATCTTATATTCTATTAAAAACAGGCCAAAGGCCATTCCAGACTGATTCAGTGGTGCCTAGAAGGAGGAGGCATTTGAATTTGGAGGAACTTTCATACCAAGTATCAATGGAATCCAATGCAGATCCAAGATTTAATTTTGGGAGACTTCAGGCTGAAAGCCTTTTTTTTCATATATATAATGGTAATTAAAAAAAAGAAAAGAAAGAAACTAACTACCTATATGACATGGTGTTGAAGTGATTCTTGAAGTCTTATTAAATGTAATTACATGAACAATAGTACTTTAAGAGATAGTTTTTAATATTTTTTTCTATAAAAAATGATTATATTTTACCATCTTGGGGAGAGAGAGGGCTTAAGCCCGAAAGCCTCCCTCCTCTCTCCCTGTAGATATGCCTGTGATGGAATACATGCGAAATAGACCACACTATGTTTATTGGTGTATAAATAAATTTTTATTTTTGGTTGCACTGTTTTGAATAAGAGGATAGTAACAACATTTCTTGAGAAGTGACACGCATCATTGAAATTATGGGGTATAGGAATCTCTCTGTATATGGATTCGATACTAAAGCTGTTTGTTTATATTGATCCATGTCAATTTTATTGATAAAATAAAATATTCTAATATTTATTTTGACACTGTATTGGAAATACTTATAATAAGCTAAAACCATAATTGAGATATTTGCATTTCTTCTTTTATTTTTATCTAACTAAGCATTATTACATAAGACATTAATTACAAACACTAAAAAATATGTTAGTAAGTAAATAAAATTATGAAACTTACAAAAAACCATAATTTTTCGAATAGCCTAAAGAATTTTTTTTTAAATATTAAAATTAGCCTACAGTTATTTCCATATTTTTAAGAAAGTTTATTTTAAAATTATAGCTAAGAAAACAAAAAAAAAAAAAGGTATTTTGGTTATTCTCTTGAATTGAACTAAATCATTATGGATTATAAAGATTATTTTTTTGTGGTCACCTTATTTAAAATAAATTGCTGATAATTTCTATATTCAATAATTCAAAGATTAGATAGTTAGCGTTATTATATATATATTTTTTAATATTACAACTTAACCTAATAATATTCCAAATTACTTTCATGAAAAAAGAAACATCATTTCATAACAGCATGAATCATTGTATAAAATTTAATTATTTAATATTGATATGATTAATTCATTATAATAATATCTTGATATTAGCTGAAAAGCATTCATCATATATACTGAAAATGAAAGAGGTGAACTTAAATTTCAAGTTTGTTCCTCAACATATGCTAGAAGAAACACACACACAAGAAAATATTTTGGAATCGTGCCACTTAAATGAGCAATAATAAATATTTTTTCAATTAAACTTATATCAAGATATTTTTATTTTGAAATAGTCTTATGAATATTAAATATTTAAATTTTATATAACTATTCATCCCGAATTCATAATGAAACGTTTTATTGATATTGTTCCTTAGATGTAATTAGTTAAAGTGTATTAGTGTAATTAGTGAAATTGGCAGATTGAGCAGTAATTATTTCATGCTTGAAATAATGTCATATGATTTCAAGTCCTTAGAGACCCAAGGTTCAACGTCGGTTAAGAAACCAAGATAACAACACACTATTTAATAAGAGTTTTTGAAAAGTTCTTTCATGTGAAACTAACACTTTTTTTTGCATACTCGTGAATCTATACCGCACTTTGTTTCACATGAATTTGTTTTGTAAAATTCAGATCAATTGTATTAATTTATACTTCGATTATTTTTTTGAAATTCTGTAGTTGATTAAAATCTCGATGAACTAATTCACATCCTATGGCGAACTATTTATTTATTTTGGACAAGCTGTATGTAAGTGGACTAGCTTTTTTTAATCTATTAAGTTGTAAAGTGGTTTTTAATATCCCTTTAGTATGAACTGTAAACTTGTAGTATTATTCTCTCTTGTCTTATTTAATAGACAATCACAGTTATATCATCTAACAGACATCTTCAGAAAAATAATTCTTATATCATGGGCTATTTTTTTTGTTATGTGAACGCAGGGGTGCCCATTCCCCCTAAGGTCGATGGCGCATGACCATCTCCCCTCTCCAACAGTTGTATTTCTCTCCTCTTCTTAAAAACAGTGCAAGTTATTATAGGATTGGACAAATCATAGATCATATACAATTACACTTGCTATGATCTGTCCCATGTTTTCGTCCTAGTTCTCCGTTTTGAAAGTTTTCACTCCGAAAATTCCTAGCCCCGCTGAAATGTACCCCCCTCAAAAATTCAAAATCCAGTCTAAATATTGGTCGCAACTTATGCTATGCTATGAAACCCCCTTCTGGGCACCCCATGTAAACATTTACACTGGAACAAAAATTTCTATGAACATCTGACCTGATTTTTATTGTATTCATTTTATCTTCATCGCAGAATCAATTTATTGCAACAAATAATTTTCCAAAATCATTAACATTTTTGTGCTTTTCTGACTGTTGCTAGGACATGTTTATTTAATTATTTTTATAAAGGTATATTATTCTTGCAATTAAAAGTATAATAAGCTATACAATTTCGGTTTATTAATATATTATAGAATATATTATTATTGAAATGGTTATTTTTTTAACAACTATCTTATAAAAAAATTTTGGTTTTCAGTTTATTAAGAGTCAAATCAATCATCATCCAATAAACCTTCGGAATGAAATATGTGAGTATTATTTATTTTGTATGTTGATATTTTTTATATTGCATTATCAATTCTGAAACTATGGTAATATGATTAATATTACTTAAAATATGTAGTACTTTTCCATTAAAAAAACGCTGCAAATTATTTCAACGCTGCAATAGTTTTTCGAATTCTACGCATCCTGAAACATGAAACATGTTGCCTCAAACATGTTGTACGCATCCTGAAACATGAAACCTCAAATTTTGAGAGGGGATTAAGTTTTTGAATTTTCTGGTCGATCACAATGGTTGGTTATTGAAAATAATAAACCAAACATATTTAAAAATCACGATATCTCTACTAATAATGCTTTGATTTTGATGAAACTTCCTTCATTTTTTAGGAAA